GCCGGCCTTCTCCACAATCTCGAGGGCGATGCTCAAATATTTGACTGAATCCAATCGTTCTTAACAAATCCGGTAATGAAAATCGTGTTGAATTGGCACGCTTCTAGTTCATTTTACATCAATGCAGGGATCCCACAGGGCCCTACCCTTGGAATGACGTTATTTCTTATCCTCATGAGCAACCTTCCAAGTGTCTATTTGAACTATTAGTTGATACAATTTTTTTTTAATCTGTGATTATTTAGCGCCAGGCGTTAATCGCCCAAAATCATTTTTAATTATTGATCCGAGAAAGAGCTTATATCGAGATGACATTTTTGAAATTTCTGATTTCTGTTTTTTAGCAACATAATAGAAGATAGGATCGTCTGTCGTCACGTTCACATTCCTTCCCTGTCTTTTGAACAGGAGTTGAGGTTTATCCCTTGGTTCCTCTTTACGATTGGCTTTCCGTTTGAATCTAAATCTATTTCAACTCTAAACTTCTGACGGGCGCGCCTACATTCTGAAATTTTATTCACGATTTATTTTTTGTTTATTTATTTTTCCTTAATAGGAGTAGATAAGTTTGCTCCTCGCCCGGTTCACACCCCCCCCTTTTTTTTCACAGAAATATCAGTGGAAAATGTATTTAAGCTATATATGACCTTACGTCTCTGGTTGGGTCCCGGAAGGAAATGTGTATACAGCAGAAACCCAAAGAAATAATAAAAATAGTAATAATAATAATGATCATGATCATGATGGTGGAATAAGAGACAGTCTATCGATGTGTCCATAAGATAAACTTTGGAATAAATATTTGTAAAAATTAAGTGGATTTTGACAAACTCTAATATACTACTAATACTACTACTACTACTACTGTTACTACAACTACTAATAATAATGATAATGATGATGATGAGTATAATAATAATAATAATAATAATAATAATAATAATAAATAATAATTAAATAAATAAATAAAACTCATCAAGAAATCGACAAAAATCCCTGGTATACAGATGGTACAGGAAATTCAAAAATATTTCTAACAAGAATATCCTACAAAAAGCTTTGTCTATTGAAGATTTTTTCTTTTGTTTTGTTAATAGATGTATTTTGTTTAAATAAGAAAGAACAACAACAACAAAAATTACATCCTTCGTATAATATACAGAGTGATTTAAAATTAACTCCCTATTTTATGTATGATGGACTCTGCCATCAAACTATAATTATTACAAAACGAGAGTTTATCATACTTTAAATAGGAAGTTACTTTTCAATCACCCTTTAGGAAGAACACCAAGTCGAAAGATAGGAAGCTTTATTAGACTAGTTCAACCTTAGCTTTGAAAACGTTATATTGATTATAATAGATAGTTACAAGCGATAGGGGAGATGGGATGTGTTTATTTGATGGCCACATCTCACTTAACCTAGTCTAATGGTTATGAATCGACTTGTGATGATAAAACGAATACAGGCCCAAAAGAATTTATTTCTTTAATGTATCTTGGGTATAATGACCCATTTATGATGATAAAAATCAACAATAATTTGATTTGAACTAATAATGAAGTGGTGAGATTCGTAGATGTATTGAGATAGCCAAGGACGCATTCCAAAAGCTGGGAAGAGTATTGCAAGACAGGAGGATTTCTTTGGTAACGAAGAATAACGCTTTTACGTGACATCTGTCCTTCTGTACGGTTCGTAGAGCTCTCTTCTTTGATGGATGGTTGGTTGGCTTGGTTGCTTGTCTGGGTGGATAGATATTTGAATAACCGATTAGCTTTTTGGCTGGCTGGCTGACAGCAAACAGCATGTGTGCGCATAAAGAACAGGTTCAGCGAATATACAAAAATAGAAAGGGGCATAAGGCAAGGATGTGTCTTCTTACCAGACCTGCTCAACCTATACATCGATGCAATTCTGAGAGAATTGTTAACCTTACCGGGATTTAGCACTGGCAGCCACAATCTTAACCGCATAAGATACGCAGATAACACAGTACTGATAGCAGACACGGAAAAGAAACTACAGAATCTTCTACAGAAGGGATCGACGGAGTGTGTGAAGAAGAGACCAAGCATAAACTACAAGAAGACAAAATGCATGGTAATCATCTTGACAGAGGACCGTAAATGCGACACTGAAATCCGTAGAGGTATTGGAATGGCCAAGGACGTATTCCAAAAGCTGGGCAGAGTATTGGGAATTGGGAGGATTTCTTCGGTAATACTGAGCTGTTACGTGACAACTGACCTTTACGGCAGCGAATGTTGGACGATTACCTCAAAGATGAAGAAGACACTCCTTTCAGGACGTAGGCGATCATGGCTCTCCGCCTCTTTCTATCTCTTGCAGCTCTCAACAAGTTCCTTCCCTCTGCTACCTCCTCCAGACCACGTTCTGTCATCCACTTGCTTCAGCCTGCTAGGTATGCCATGCGTTGTTTCCCCTTGTCTCTCGTTCCCTCTATTCGATCCTTGAGTATCAGATTCTCCAGGCCCTCATTCCTCATTATGTGTCCCAGAAACTTCAGCTGCCTCTTCCTGATATTAAGTATAAGCCTCCTCCTCGTTTGCATCCTCTCTAAAACCTCATCGTTACTCACACGCTTGGTCAATGATATCCTCAGCATCCTTCTGTAGAACCACATCTCCGTCGCCTCGAGTCTCTTCTTCATCTTTGAGGAAATCGTCCAACATTCGCTGCCGTAAAGAAGGACAGATGTCACGTAACAGCTCAGTATTCTTTTCTTTGTTACCAAAGAAATCCTCCTGTCTCGCAGTACTTTGCCCAGCTTTTGGAATGTGTCTTTGGCCATCCCAATACGTCTACGGATCTCAGTGTCGCATTTACCGCCCTCTGCCAGAAGGCTTCCCAGATATTTAAACTTCCGCGTCTGCTTGATTCTAGTCTTCCCGACCTGCAAATCGCATTTCGGGCACATCCTTTTTCTGATGACCATGCATTCTGTTTTCTACCGGTTGAAATTTTAAAAATGTTTGTCTTAAAACAGTTTTTTCTTGAAAATAGGCTTCTCAAGTCCTCTGTTATTTCTCGTTCTCCTATTTAGGGAGGCTTCATTCCTAACCTTTTGTTTGAAGCAGTGAGGAATGTTAATGCCTTATGCCATTATTTACTCTTCGAGTGACATGTGATATCTGTTTTAGCTTTTGCTGCTCCTGGTGGTCCTCAAGTTATACTCTATCTTTTATTTTGTAAAGATTTTTGTGATTCTGTGGCGCCACTTCACGAGATTTGAAGATGGACTCGACTGGCGTCAAGATCTCATTAATGTACAGTTGAGCTGGCTAGATGTAAACGTAAATTCTATGCTAACAGTTTCTTTTCTCGCACTTCTCACTTGGGGAACATTCCTTCCGGCTTCATGATTTCCAGCCAACTTTAATCAATGTAATTCTTCCACACCCTTTATCTGCTTGTCTTAGAGTGGGTTTACTGCCTTGTATTGTGAGATACCAATTTAAAAAAAAAAGGAAATTATTAGTTATATTGAGTTTGGTCTTAACTAGTACTCTATCTTTGTGGCCTTGTGTCAGACTTTAATCTGCAAAAATTTAAATGCAATGTCAATCGCTATCTACTGTCCTCCTGATTACTCTTTCCTTTTCACGCTCATTATTAATGTCTGTGTTCCTAATTCTTGCACACACTGTAACACATTGTGTCTTAGTGGCTTTATTACCTTGTATGGGGTAATACCAATTTTTTTAAAAAAAGAAAATTATTACAGTTATATTGAGTTTTGTCTTAACGGGATACTCTATCTTTGTAGCCTTGTGCTAGACTTTAATCTGCCAAAATTTAAATGCAATGTCAATCGCTATCTACTGTCCTCCTGCTGACTCTTTCTTTTCTCTTCCCGCTCACTATTAATGTTTCTTTTCTTAATCCTTCCCCACCGTGTAACTCCTTGCGTTTTAGTGGCTTTGCGGCCTTCCTTTGTGTAATACCGATTAAAAAAGGAGGCTCCTCTCTAAGACCTACAGGTTTCATTTCATTTCATCTAAAAATGTCAAATGAATAAAAGAAAATGGCCAAAAGTTTTACAGAGATCGACTTTGAGATTTTCCTTATATATATATATATATATATATATATTAAGCATATCACTCCAAACAAGGCGGGAGTGTCACTAGCATACAAGGGTTTACAGAGAGTGAGCAAGAGTAAAGGGGGGTGTTTGGAGAATTTATATAGAGCAAGACTGAGATCAAGATCAATTCGTCAGAAGATGTCGATTGACATTACATTCGAATATTTGAAGGTTATAGCTATCAGCGAAGCAAGTAAGAGGAAGAGAGTTCCACTGACGGGAAGTCCAAGACGTGAAGCTTTTGGAATAGAAGAGACGGCTACATTTAACCGTTTCGACAGTGAAAGGGTGGGACCGAAATGCCAACCTAGTAGCACGCTTAAATTCATGCAGTCTGAAACCAACGAAAATAGCTCGTCAGCGCAGTTATTTTCCTTCCCTCTATTTACCATTTTTTATATTTGCTATCATTTTTTTGTTTTTTTGTCGTCTATCTAATTGACTATCTTTTGAAACGTCATCTAGGAATTATCTCCACATTTAATCAGGTTGCGCATTTTGCCAAAGGCTTGATAAGCATCAAGTACGGCGGTGGAACAAGTTTTTAAAAAATCTGTTTTCAACATTTGAGATTCAAATCAAATTCTGAAATTCAAATGTCTATTTCGCTTTTTTTTCAAGATTTTTTTTCAAGATTTCATTAGCTTCAAGCATTGAAGCCTCGCAGTTGTAGGCTAAATTGAAACTCGAAATCAAGAGACCATTCTGTAGAATTAAATTCTTCAAAGATTCTTTTTTTTTAAAAAAAAAGAAAGACAAGGTTGGTGGCTTGACAGCAAAATTTAAGATTTATGTTTTTTTTAACAAACTTCCAATGTACGAAGTCGAGGTACAGAAAATGCTTTCAATTTATTTTTCTCTTTGAAGGAAGAAAAAGTAATTTAAGCTTTTTTCTGTATTTTCTTTTTCTTTTCTGATCTATTTTCTTTCCCATTCTCTCTTTCTTTCTTTCTTTCTTTCTTTCTTTCTTTCTTTCTTTCTTTCTTTCTCATGTTTTTATTCTATTTCCTTCTTTGTCCGGCTCTATTCATTCATTCTTTCTTTCTTTCTTATGTTGTTTTTATTCCATTTCCTTCTTTGTCCAGCTCATTTTTTCTTTTCTTTTCTTTCTTTCTTTCCTTCTTTCCTTCTTTCTTTCTTTCTTTCTTATGTTTTTATTCTATTTCCTTCTTTGTCCGGCTCTATTCATTCTTTCTTTATTTCATTTTTTCTTTCTTTCTTATGTTGTTTTTATTCTATTTCCTTCTTTGTCCGGCTCTATCCATTCTTTCTTTCTTTCTTTCTTTCTTTCTTTCTTTCTTTCTTTCTTTCTTATGTCGTTTTTATTCCATTTCCTTCTTTGTCCGGCTCTATCCATTCTTTCTTTCTTTCTTTCTTTCTTTCTTTCTTTCTTTCTTTCTTTCTTTCTTATGTTGTTTTTATTCCATTTCCTTCTTTGTCCGGCTCTTTACATTCATTCATTCATTCATTCATTATTTCTTTCTTTCTTTCTTTCTTTCTTTCTTTCTTTCTTTCTTATTCTTCCTTCCTTTTGTTTTAGTTCTCTATTCTTTTGCTTTCTGTTTTTTCTTGGTTTATTTCTTTCTCCATTTTGTTTTGTTTTTGTTTTAGCTCTTTTCTTATACTTTTCCTTTCATTCTCATTTCTTTCTTTCTTTTTTCTTTTTTTCTTTCTTTCTTTCCTTCTTTCTTTCTTTCTTTCTTTCTTTCGTTTTTACCCAGTTTTTCTTTTGTTTTGCTTTTCGTCCTTGTCTCTTTTTTCCTTCTCCATTCTTTCTTTTTTTTTCTTTCTTTTTTAGCCTCTGTCCTTTTTGCCTTGTTTTTGCTTTTGGCCATTTTCACCTTTCTTTCTTCTTGTCTCTTTTATTCTTTCTTCCTCTATTCTTTCTTTCCTTCTTTCTTTCTTTCATTCTTTTGTTTATATTCTATTTTCTTCTTTGTCCGGCTATATTCATTCATTCTTTCTTTCTTTCTTTCTTTCTTATGTTGCTTTTATTCCATTTCCTTCTTTGTCCAGCTCTATACATTCATTCATTCTTTCTTTATTTCTTTTTCTTCTTTCTTCTTTCTTTCTTTCTTTCTTTCTTTCTTTCTTTCTTTCTTTCTTTCTTATGTTTTTATTCCATTTCCTTTTTGTCCGGCTTATGTTTTTTCTTTCTTTCTTTCTTTCTTTGTTCGGCTTTTTTCTTTCTTTCATTTTTCTTTCTTTTTTTTCTTTTTCCTTCTTTGTCCGGCTCTATTCATTTTTTCTTTCTTTCTTTCTTTTTTTCTTTCTTTCTTTCTTTCTTTCTTATGTTTTTATTCTATTTCCTTCTTTGTCCGGCTCTATTCATTTTTTCTTTCTTTCTTTCTTTCTTTCTTTCTTTCTTTCTTTCTTTCTTTCTTCCTTTTCTTTCTTATATTTTTATTCTTTTCCTTCTTTGTTCTATTCATTTTTTTTTTGTTTCTTTTTTCTCCATTTTCTTTTTTCTTTCTTATGTTGTTTTTATTCCATTTCTTTCTTTGCCCGGCTCTTTTCTTTTCTTTTCTTTTCTTTCTTTCTTTCTTTCTTTCTTTCTTTTTCGTCCTTGTCTCTTTTTTCTTTCTCCATTCTTTCTTTTTTTCTTTCTTTTTTAGCCTCTGTCCTTTTTGCCTTCTTTTTGTTTTTGGCCATTATCACCTTTCTTTCTGCTTTTTCTTTCCTCTTTTATTCTGTCTTCCTCTATTCTTTCTTTCTTTCTTTTTTCTTTTTGATTTTAATCCTTCTCCCTTTTTTCTTTCTTCATTCTTTCTTACTCTCTTTCTTATTTTTGCTTTTTCCTAGTTTTTCTCCTTTTTTTTCACTTTTCTTCCTTGTCTTTCTCTTTTTTTCTTTCTCTTTTCTTCTTTCTCGCTTACATTAGCTTTTGTCATTTTTTTGTTCGTTTGCTTTTTTCGTCTTTGTCTCTACTTTTTCTTCATCTATTCTTTCTTTCTTTTTTTCTTTCTTTCTTTCTTCACCTCATTTTCCTCTCTCTTTCCCTCTTTTTCTTCCTTTATGATTTTAAACATTGAAATTTCTTTCCATATCCTATTCTATTCCTTTTCTTTTTCGCCCTCTTTCCCTCTATTCCCTCTCATCCTTCACATTCGATAAGAGATGAATTTATATTGCATTTTTTTTTATTATGCCCTGGTTTTCAGAATGAAATGCTTTAAATAATTATTTTTACCGGGTCTCATTTCCAATCTCTAACGCTTTTATTGTATAGTTTTCACTCCGTACCATAAGCAAACTCTGTGAATTCTTCGTGGTCAATCTGGCCTTGAGCAATCGGTTGCAGAAAAGAGAGAGAGAGAGAGAGAGAGAGAGAGAGAGAGAAAGAGAGACAGTGAGTAAGAGAGAGAGATGAAAATATAAAGTGCTTACTTCATTCTGGCATCAAAGAGAAAACGCAGCTGTTTTGTAATGAGTTTTGGATTTTCAAGGAACTTCACAAGTACTTCTCTGGAATTGGTTTAGTTGTTGGTCAGTAAAAACTTTTAATCGGTAAACTGCCAGAAGCGATTCTGTTGCTGTTTATCATTTAACAAGTCTTTTTTCTTTTTATCGGAGGTTTCTTTCTTTCTTTTTTCCTTTTTGTTTTTTCCTGCTTTCTAGTACTTGCTGTCTTCCTTTCCATCCCTTTTTCTTCCTTCTTTCTTTCACTTTTTGTTATTTTCTTGCTTATCTTTCTTTTTCTTTCTTACTTTCTTTCTTTCTTCTATTGTTTGTTTTCTTTCTTTTTTATCTCTTTTTATTTCCTTCTTTCTACTACTTTTCTGCTTTTGGCTTTTTTCTTTCTGTTTGTATTTTTTTCTTTTATTTTTTCTTTTCTTTATTTTTGACTAGTTTTATTTATTTATTTCTCTTTTTCTTCTGTTGGTCTTTACTTTCTTTTCGTATCCTTTTCTTGCTTTCTTTCTTTCCTTCTTTCTTTCTTCCTATCTTTCTCTTTTTCTTCTCTTGGGTGTTTACATTCTTTTCGTCTCCTTTTTTTCTTTCTTTCTTTCTTGTTTTATTTATTTCTCTTTTTCTTCTGTGGTTGTTTTCTTTCTTTTTGTCTTTTATTCTTTTCGTTTCTTATTTCTTTCTCTGCATTCTCTTTCTCTTTCGTTATTTTTATATTAATTTTCGTCTTTTTGTTTTCTTTCGTTTTACTTTTCGTATTGTGCGTCTTATATAAGCTTGTATTATTTGCTTTCTTTCTTTCGTTTTTCTTTTCTTATCGTCCGATAGCCTTTTATTATTTTCTTTCTTTCTTTCTTTCTTTCTTTCGTTTTTCTTTACGTATCTTTCGATAGTCTTGTATTATTTCCTTTCTTTATTTCTTTCTTTCTTTCTTTCTTTCGTTTTTCTTTTCGTATCGTCCGTTTTAAATTAGCCTTGTATTATTTGCTTTCTTTCTCTTTCATTCTTTCTTGCTTTCTTTCTTTCGTTTTTCTTTTCTTATCCTCCATCTTATATTAGCCTTGTATTTTCTGTTTTTGCTTTCTTTTTTTCTTTCTTTCTTTCTTTCTTTCTTTCTTTCTTTCTTTCTTTCTTTCTTTCTTTACAATCGTATTATTTGCTTTTCCTCTTCTTTCTTTTATTAATCTACTGTTCTTTCTTTCTTTCTTTCTCTATTCTTGCTTTATTTTCATTTCTTCTTTCTTTCAACTTTCTTTATTCTTTCTTCACGCTTGTATTTCATTTCTTTTACTGACAGTCACTCTACAGTAGGTGTCGATATAATTAGTAATTAAGTATAACTTTGCCAGGAACAATATTCCAGAATTAGGGCATCTATTAAGGACAGGATTTCGAAACACAAGCCAATATATTTATTAAGTTTCTTTATTTCTAACACAAGGACACAATAGTTCAGCGCCCAGTGAATGTTAGACTCCCCTTCACCAATCGTTTGCGAGAAAAGCTTGCTATGGAAGGAGTTCATTACATTTATGGCTACACAAGTCTTCCATAGTGAATACCTAATGAAAGTCATATTACCTTCACAAATAAAGTGGAATTCGAGACGAAGTTTATTCCGACATATTCTATACTTGGCGTTCTGCATCTGCTGATTGTAATTGCGTAAGGCAGACGATCAATGTCGCCAAATGTTGACGACATTATTTAACAAAAGACATCGAGCTATCGATGTTTCGCTGTTCGTTTCTTCTGGGATTCGCCACAACTACCCAAATGTCGGGAACAAGATAATCAAGACTGATACACGAGGTACTCGACAGCTGACGCCTGGAAAAGCTTTTAAACTATTATTATTATTATTTAAAGATAACCAACAGACTTTTTTTCTCTTCTTCTTAAATACTCGCTTTATCTTTGCTTTCTATCGTCTTCTTCTTTCACTGATTCTTTTTCAACGTCTTTCTTTTTCTCTCTTTTTTTCTTTTATTGTTATTTTCAGCATTTTCTTTGTTTTCTTCTAATTTTTGTTGCTTTTATTTAATCTTTGTTCATCTTTCCCTCATTCGAGTTTCTCACTATGTTTCTTTTCCGATATGTTTCATTTTATAGACCTTACTACAATAGGCGTCTATTTGTTTTTCTTAGATTAGATTTTTGACTTTGCTTCTTCATTTTTCATTCTTTTTGTCATTTCTTTCTTTCTTTCTTTCTTTCTTTCTTTCTCTTTCTTTCTTATCTGAGCCTTCATTTGTGTGTCTTCAATCCTTTCTTTCTATCTTTCATTATTTCTTTTATTTTCTTTCATTCTTGTATTTGTTTTCTGGTCTTTTTATTATTTTTTTTTGTTGTTTTTTTTCGTTTTTTAACTTTTTGTTATTACTTTTTGCGTTCGTTTCAGTTTTCTATTCTTTTTTCTTTTTAACTTTATTTTTCGTTATTTTCGCCTTTTAGCCCTCTAGTCTTTCTTTCTATTCTTTCTTTCTTTCTTTCTTTCTTTCTTTCATTCTTTCTTTCTTTCTTTCTTTCTTTCTTTCAGCTTTATTATTTGTTTCTGTTTTTAGCTCTCTATTCTGTCTGTCTGTCTTTCATCCTTTCCGTCTTTTAGCTTTCTATTCTTATTCTTTCTTTCTACCTTTTTGTTCTTTCTTTTATCTTTTCTGTCTTTTAGCTTTCTATTATTTGGTTCCGTTTTTTAGGTATTATTCCTTTCTTTCTTTCTTTCTTTCTTTCTTTCTTTTAACTTTCTTTTCTTTCTTTCTTTCATCCTTTCATACATTCCGTCTTTTAACTTACTATTCTTTTTTTCTTTCTTTCTTTCTTTCTTTCTTTCTTTCTTTCTTTCCGTATTTTAGCTTACTATTCTTTTTTCTTTCTTTCTTTTTTTAATTCAGTCTTTCTTTCTTTCTTTCTTTCTTTCTTTCTTTTAGATTTCTATTTTTCTTTCTTCCTTTTTGTTCTTTCTTTCATCTTCTCCGTCTTTTAGCTTTCTATTATTTGGTTTCCGTTTTTTAGGTATTATTCCTTTCTGTCTTTCTTTCTTTCTTTTAACTTTCTTTTCTTTCTTTCTTTCTTTCTTTTAGCTTTCTATTCTTTCTTTCTGACTTTCCCTTTTATCATTCTTCCTTATACTTTATGAGTTTTCCAACATTCACTTTCCTTATTTTCTACTGTTTCTCTTTTTTCCTTTCATTTTTTTTATTCTATCTCATCGAGATAAAAAAAAAACATAAACAAAAACGCCTTCATATTTTCACCTTTGATTCTTTTTAAATATGCATTTGAAAATCTCTTGAATTAGTCACTCATCCGAATTCGCTTCTCTTCTATTTCAAATGGCTGCGTAAAGATGCATATTATCTGTACGATCAGCCTTTCAGTTTTCAATTTTGGGATCTGTACGAAGCTAATAGCAAGCAGCATTTTCATAAACTGTTACGGCTTGAAGACACACTGTAAATCAGTGCGCGTTATCATCTTCAGCAACTTTGAAAATATCTCTTATCAGTCATCTCCAAAACTCTCTGTCTTATAATAACTCCTGAAATTCTGCAAGTTTTCCAAGACCTTTAAAGTTATTTTTTACGGGTAATGATGCAATTATATTGATAGTATTTTTAATGCCATTGTTCAGTGTATACTATGTTGTTTTCTTGTCTAATATCTATTGATATTATCCTTTACCATAATAAATTCATTACCTACTCCGCCAGAAAATAAACGCACTTTAAAATATCGTCACCATATTTAACAAGATTTTCATGAATTCAATGTGGTACGTAATCCTATTTGGCGGAGAAAGTTTGTCAACTATTAAATGGTGGCATATTCATATTTAACACTTTGTAAATACCTCCAAAAGAATTTTATCATTGGGAAATTTAATTTTAAAGAAGTTTTGAAAAAAAAAAATGCAGGAATTCTTGGCTCGGGACTTTGATAACATTGATATACTGTGTGTAACAGTAAAATTGTCGAAATCGTGTAAATGCAAAATTGTCCATTTGTTAGATTAAGATTTGAATCGGTGTATCTTAGAAATGATTAAAGATATCTTACTGGCATTCTCTGAGGTTTTTCTATTGCTATTGGACTCTATGTTGTGCAATAAATGTATATTATACACATATATTTAAAAACACACACACACATACACTCTCCAAGCTTAACAGGGGAATCGTGATGTAAATGACATGTTCATTATAAATTCATCATAGGTAAGGATCATAAGCTAATGAAGGATGGAAATATATATATATATATATATATATATATATGTATATATTATTATTATTATTATTATTATAGGATCATTTTGCAACTTATTGATGATGATATTCGCCCTCTCTAACCTTCTAAATTTCTGTCCTGGAGTAACATGGTAGCTTATACCGTTTTTACTTACCATTTCATTTTGAAGTTCTATTTCACTGCTCTTTGGATTGTCATAGCTGAAATTCCTATCTCCCTTGTCAAACGTCTTATGGATTGAGTTGGATCTTTTCTAATTCGTCTCTTTATCTCTTAGCTGAAATGATGATCCCTGTTCCTAATGTGATCTTCTGATCCGATTTTCCTCTCTACTCTTCTTTCTATTTTAAACTCGTTCACCATTCTCTTGATGGTTCCTGAATGGACTTTGAAGATTAAAGCCAGTGTATGAATGTTGGTAACATTACTGAAGGCCTGAATGATCTTTTTCCTCGCACCATTGCTCATTTGGAAAGACAGTAGGCTGACACAAAGCGATTTTAACATGTTCTCTTCCTCGTTGAATAATTTAAAGTGTTTTTTTTTCTTACGATAAATGATATCAAGAGGGCTGGACGTCTTATCGGAAAACATGAAAAAGAGAAACAATTAGTTTAGTTTGTTTTCTTTTTTAGATATTAAACATTTTGTGGGATGGAAAATTATCCTGTTAAACGATTTGGACAATTTAATAGTTTTTACCTGGTGTATTGCATCTAAGAAAGCAAAATCAGAGACGGACTTGATATTAACGTCGGAATTTGACAGCACAATTTAATAGTTTTTTTTTTTTATTAAAGATAGTAAATATTATGGCAATGTTTTGCCATCAATACGAAATGGAAGAATAATATAGACATTGAATAAGATCATTAAAAGAACTACTAATAACATTAAATCATTCTACGTCAAAAACTTTGAGGAGGTTGGAAGATAGATAGAAGTTTTGAGAGGTCTGATCAGAGATATTTACAAAGTTGTTGAAGGTAGGAAATCACACTTAAATGCAGGGTGCCTCTAATCGAAACATCTTTCAAGATGAAGAGAATTAACAAATACAAAGGTAACAAGAATAATAATGGTTTATTTGGATCTTTATCTTATACAGCCGAAATAACACAATTTGCGAATTCGTCACTAGAATATTTAGTTATTCTATTTATTTTTTTATTTGTCCTTCTTATCACTATGTACTGTACAAGGAAACTAGACGATAGTCTCCAGTTGCACCAATACACATATATTTTTAAAAAAAATACACGCATAAATATACACGTATAGAATATAAAAATACAGATATAAATAAAATATATATATATATATATATATATATATAGATAATATTAGTGGAAAATATACATACATACATATGCAAGATATATAAATCCAGGTAGAGACTTGAGAATGAGTTAAACAATTGAAACCTTAAAAAAAGCTGTTCGGGGAGGGTTAGTTTGTAGAATAACGCAAGAGGAAGAATCCAGGTAGAACTCAATGTTCTAGGACAAGTAAGGATATAATGAAAAGGCTTAAAAAACTAATATTCCATGGTCATAATTTATTCCATTGTAATCGTAAATACGACCCAATTCATCAGACCTACAAATTCAAAAAAGAAAAACATAAATATATATATATATATATATATATATATATATATATATATATATATATATAAAGAATGCACATATATTTAAAAATACACATATATTTAAAAATAAACATAAGAATATACACATATAGAATATAAAATACACATATAAATATAAAAAAAACATATAAATATAAAAATACATATATTTAAAAAAATACTCATAGAAATATACACATATAGAATATAAAAATGCACATAAAAATAAAAAAACATATAAATATAAAAAACACATATTAAAAAAATACATATAGAAATATATACATATAGAATATAAAAGTACACATAGAAATATAAAAAACATATAAATATAAAAAATACATATTAAAAATATATATATACATATAGAATATAAAAGTACACATAGAAATATAAAAAACATATAAATATAAAAAATACACATATATTTAAAAAAAACACACACACATACACTATCGAATGAAGAAAATTTATAACATTTTGAATATGCTGAAAATTCTCAACGTGTGGAAATTATAATTTTACGCTAGGCCAAGGATAAAAGCGATCCGTCAAGCCCTTTGTCTTAAAACTAACAGTACTAAAACATTGTCACGAGTCTAACAGTTCAGACAAGTGGTACACGATGTTCGTCGTCGCTTTCATTATGTTTAAATTTCAGCAATAGTAAAAATCTAGGAATTGATGGAATTTCTAAATTACCGTTTTTTTTTGGGGGGCTTGAAATTATAACTTGCTGGAAATGTAGGGCACATTACGTCATGAAGAGCATAGTTTCTTTACCGTGTATCCTATTAAAGATGTAGGTTGACATATTATTTTTGCAGTTGTTATCGTTACAAGAGGTCGCGTACGCATTTTTTGTATCATTACTGAAGAACGTAGAACGAAGTAAGGATTTGCCAGAAGATTTGTATTTATTTGTTTTTGCAATTGTTCATCATATATATATATATATATATATATATATATATATATATATATATATATATATATATATATATATATATATATATGAAGAAATATAGTTTTAAGGAGTGCTTTATTTATGGGATAAAGTGCTCAATATCAGAGATAGAGCGTATGTAAATATAAATATAAAAGTGAACATTGAAGTCACCACTCGGAAGCGACAAGCTGTTTCATGTTAGACGCAATCGTCAGGCGGCTTGACGAAAGCGTCTAACATGAAACAGCTCTGAGTGTTGACTTCAATGTTCACTTTTATATATATATATATATATATATATATATATATATATATATATATATATATATATATATATACACCTGAAATACGTAGAAATTACAAAGAAATGACGTGCTTTTAAGATAGCAGAACTTCTGTCAAAAACTCTTGAGTCGGTTAACCAGATAGGTGACTAGATTTATTCAGTATATATATATATATATATATATATATATATATATATATATATATATATGTGTGTGTGTGTGTGTGTGTGTGTGTGTGTGTGTGTGTGTGTGTGTGTGTGTGTGAAACTTGACTAATGCATGGAAGTGTGCCGAAATAAGACGTAGAGTTTTGTCTAAACCCGAATCTGAACAAAACCTTACCCTACAAAAGTTAGAAGAGGAGTGTCAGCGGGCCGTAAGTTTAAAGAAAGAGTCTCAAAAAATCGAAGAAGCTGGCATTGCTTATATTAAAAAAAATAAAAAAAACAGTCAAATTACCCATCAGCAAAAAATTGGAGTAAAAATTCGGCGTATTTTAAAAATAGACAAGAAAAATTAAATGAAAAGAACGAGGAGGAAAAAAAGGTTCCACCTTATAATTGTAGACGTTGCAACCACAACCGATTCTACCACAACAATATATATTAAAAAGAAGAGAAATACCGCAAACGTTTTTGGTTGTAATGTGGATTTAAAAAAAAAATGTTATGCTTTATCTTCCATAATTTTACTTGACGTGTTTCTGGTCTCGCGACCGTCATCAGGTAAAGGGCGGAGATTTCCACATATTATTAAAAATAATCCATTTTTTTTCTCCTTTATGTTTTTCGATGTTAAATATTCTCGATATAAGACATTTTCTTTTACGTGTTACTAATCCGAATTTATTTTTAAAAAATCCACATTACAACCAAAAACGTTTGCGGTTTCTCTCGTTGGAACTACGATAACCTCTGCGTTTTATACATACATACATATATATACATATATATATATATATATATA